CAGGAACCCCTCTTGTTCTCTTTCTTGAGGTGAGTTTTTCCATCTTATCTTTCTGTCCAGAGAAGAATAAATGAATGAGAGAACAAAATACTAAAATGGCAAAAAGACCCCAGAGAAATATACACTAAACAAATCAGAAGAGACCTGAAACTGGGAAGGAAAAAAAGGAGGGGGAGAGAGAGAGAGAGAGAATATAATCAGACAGATAAGCAGAATAGAGCAATACACTGGACTCTGTGTGTATTTTGGTCTGTTTTTTAGAAAACTAGATCCCAAAATTATAAAGAAAGGAAAACATATACATACAAAAATAAAATTAAATACAATGAAAGGATAGAATGTAATTGTAAAAATGGAAATTAAAGGACAAGAAAAAAAAAAAAGAAAAAGAAAAATAACAACAACAGTAAAAAAGGAAGGGAGGGGCGCCTGGGTGGCTCAGTAGGTTAGAGCCTCTGCCTTCGGCTCAGGTCATGATCCCAGGGTCCTGGGATGGAGCCCTGCATCGGGCTCTCTGCTCGGCAGGGAGCCTGCCTCCCCCTCTCTCTGTGCCTGCCTCTCTGCCTACTTGTGATTTCTGTCTGTCAAATAAGTAAATAAAATCTTTAAAAAAGAAAAAAAAAAAAAGAAGGGATATAATCAGGCAGATGCGCAGAACAGAGCAGTACACTATCTCCTGCGTGTGTTCTGGTCACTTTGTTAGAAGAAACTTCATCTCAAAATTGTAAAGGAAGAAAGACTTATATATACCAAAATAAAACTAAATACCCTGAAAGGATAGACTGTGACTGTAAAGATGAAAATTCAAAAAGATTTTTTTTTAAGATTTTATTTATTTATTTGACAGAGAGAGATCACAAGTAGGCAGAGAGGCAGGCAGAGAGAGAGAGAGGGAAGCAGGCTCCCCGCCGATCAGAGAGCCGGACGTGGGACTCGATCCCAGGACCCTGAGACCACGACCCGATTCGAAGGCAGCAGCTTAACCCACTGAGCCACCCAGGCGCCCCTCAAAAAAATTTTTAAAAAGGAGTTGATAAAATGGGAAGTTGGTTGAAAAAAGAAGAAAATTTTAAGAAAAAATAAAGTAAATTTTAAAAATTAAAGTTGAAAGTAAAAAATCATGGGGGAAAAGCCATGAATTCTATGCGCTGTATTCCCCTAGCACTGGAGTTTGGCAGGCTCGGTGATTGGTGAACTTGGTCGTGGGTGGATGTTCTTGCTGAGCTTCTGGGGGAGGGGCCGGTTGCAGTGATGCTCGGGTTTCTTTGCCCAGGGCTGAACTGCAACACCCTCGCCAGGGGGCCAGGCTATGGAATCCGGAATTGCTCTGGGTCGCTCTGTGTGGCTTTTGTTCCCTGAAGCCTTTCTGGGAAGCTTTAGAGGATAAGACTGAAAATGGTGACCTCCCAATCCCCGCCCTTGAGCAGAAAGCTGGGGGCCCCCCCCGCTCCGCAGTGAGCCCTCAGGGAAAAGCAGTCATCTGCTCCCTGGTCTCTGTTGGACCCGCTCTCTCCTGCAGGCGCAGGTTGCATTCGCGGGTGCTCAGCACAGTTCCACAGCTCTCTAACTGATGCCCGGGACCAGACGGTCTCTTTATTCCAGTCTCCTGCTCCTCTGCCGTCCTGGACTCCCCCCATTAGTGGTATTTCTAATGGAAAACCACACGAGTGTAGAGGACGCCTTTCTGGATTATCTGATTCTATCAGATCCTACCGTTCGTCCCCTTGGAACTACCCCATAGCTCCGTAAATTGCAGATGACCAAGAGCCATGCAGATATTCCTTTTTACAGATTTGCAAATAAATTTTCCTCAGCAGAGATTCAATTGCTTTTTCCTGTGGAAAAAGCCAATCTCCATCTATATTTAAATTCATTTCAAAAAAATGTAAATGTCGGGGCACATGGGTGGGTGGTCAAATAAGCATCTGCCTTCAGCTCAGGGAATGATCCCGGGGTCTTGGCACCCAGGTCCTGGGATAGAGCCCGGGATCGGGATCCCTGCTCAGCGGTGAGCCTACTCCTCCCTCTCTCTCGGCCCCTCCCCCTGTTCATGCTCACTCTCTCTCTCAAGTAAATAAATAAAAATTTTTAAAGAAATGTAAATGTCATAAACACCTTATTTTACAGATTATAAAACTGAATTTTAAAAAACAAAGGAAAAAAATTCATTTCATCATTCCTTTACTCCACATAGATGTGTAGGTTTTGAACTTCCCTTTTGAACTTATAATCACTTCCTTGGGGTCTCATTAGTTAATGAATTAAATAAACCCTTGACACATTGTACTAGTTTTTTTAGGAATGCTGGGACTAATTCCCACAAACATGGTGGCTTTTACCATGACAGAACTTCATCCTATGAGAGTGCTGGAGGCCAGAGATCTGAAGTCAAGGCTTTGGCAGGGCTGGCTCCTGAAGGCTCTGAGGAAGACCGTGTTCCAAGGCCCTCCACGCTTTGGTGGTGCTGCCATCCCCAACGTCCCCAGGCTTGTGGCCACGCCATTCTGTCTATACTTCTGCCTCCACACAGGCTTTTCTTCTGTGCCTCAGGTCTCTCTCTTCTCGTGTAAGAACACCAGCCACTGGGTTCAGGGCCCGTCCTCCTCCGGGATGATCTCATCCAGAGAACTTTAACTCATTTCATGTGTAACAACCCTATTTCCAAATAAAGTCGTATCAGAAGCTGCAGAAGTTAGAAAGGGGACGTATCTTTTGCAGGGACATTGTCTGGTCACGGCATACATGTTCATTTAATGTTTGCGTGAGAAATCATGCTTCTTAGTAAATATATTCTTCCATTTTTAAAAAAAGATCTTATTTATTTGGGAGAGAGAGAGACAGAGACAGAGATAGCGAGAGCACTAGTGGGAAGGAGAGGGAGAAGCAGGCTCTCCACTGAGCGGGGAGCCCACCCATCCCAGGGCTTAATCCCACAACCTGAGCTGAAGGCAGACACTTAAAACTGAGCCACCCCAGTGCCCCACACTTCCTTTTTTTATTTTTTCTAAGAAACAACAGTTTTGTAGACTCATGGGCCTGGGAACACAGGGGAGCTGGGAGATTTGGAGTGGGGGACTGACTGGGCAGCACTGGTGTGGACTGTGTCTGGGTTTGGGGTGGACCAGGAGTAGTGATCACTTGGAGGAAAGTTTTCTTGGCACTCCTGGGGCGCAGTCATCTCAGCTTTGGGGAACTGACTTCACATAGCACAACTAAGGGTAGAGTCCCCCCATTCAGTCCAGGCACCTGTGCCTGGGACAGGAGCCCCAGTCAGTACTGGGTCCTTTGATGTGGCAATAGAACAGAGTCCATTCCTTGGTGCTTTTGAGGCGTGGGAGCTGGCTGGACTTCGTTTCCCAAAAGTGGACAAGAAAGCCCCACCCACCCCCATTCCCAGCCCCAGGGCAGGTGGCCCCGGGCTCCCAGCCATGTCTGCGTCTGAGGTCATGCTGCTATTCTCAGCCTTGCTGCTGTCACTTCTCAGATGCCTTAGCAGCATTTTATGTGGCCTACACCATCTCCTGGACCAGTTTCATTAAACATCACGGGGTTAGGCGAGGAGGCTGAATGTATGCAACTGGGAATATTCCAGAAAGTCTGGACTTGGGAGGGGCTCAAGACCCACTGCCAGGCCCTAGCCAGGACGCCAGGGACAGGGCTGTGAAGACGGGAAGTTACATCTCTGTCTTCGTCGCAAGGCAGGTAAAAAGCCAGCGAGGACAGCGGTCTGCGTTCAGCCGGAGTACGGAGCCCCGCATCTGTTGCAAGCGGGATAACGGGAGCAAGGTGATTCTGGACGCTGAGCTGTAGCAGAAGAGGCCTGGGGTGGCATAGTTCACGGCGGGAGACACTGGCTTCACCTGGGCCCCGGGATAAAGGACAATGAGCAGGGACCATTGGGCTGCGCTTGCGGGAGCAGGAGTCCCCTGGCGAGGGAGGAGCCTCGTGGGAGGCTGGGGGGGAGCGGAGAAGAGCCGCGCAGAGGGCCCAGCCTCAGGGGAGAGGGTTCTGGAGCAGCCCCATGCGGGCGCGGGCCCCGACCAGCGCGGAGCCGGGGACCCGAGGCCCCGCGCAGCCGCCGCAGGACGGCCGGGCCGCAGGAGCGCCGGGTGCAGCCCCGCGTCCTGGACCGCTAGGAGCGCGGCCGCGGAAGGGAGGAGCCAGCCGGGGCGGGGGGCGCTCGCGGGAGGGAGGCGGAGCGGGCAGGGGTGCGGGAGAGGGGGAGAAGCTGCCGCGAGCGGTGCCTCTCCCCACCCCGGCCCCCCCGGCAGGGTGAGAGAAGCAGGGACCGGAAGCCTGGGCGCGGGCTGCGAGAGCCTTTGAGAGGAGGGGCGGGTCCTGCCCTGCCTCGGGCCGGCCGGCCGGTGCAGAGGGACAAGCCTTCCGGTGGGTCTCGCCCGCCCCGTGCGCGCCTCTCGCGGCGACGCTGCGGACCGTCCGCCCTCCAGATCGCCCGGCACACAGCAGGCGCCACAAGTGTCCCCGGCTCGGTCCAAGGAACAAGGAGCTCCTACCTCATTTTGCCGCGGGGAACGCGAGCCGCGAAGCGAGATGCACCCTGGCCGGCGGCAGGAGTGTTGGGCCGCTCCCCGCTGCCCGGCCCGGGCTCCAGCTCTCAGAGCAGTGTCCCCCCCCACCGCGCCTCCGTGCGAGCCCCTTCCCTCCGCCCGTGCTGTGAGCTCCCGGGGAACCAGCGAGCTGACCCCCGCGAGCCTCGGCTTCCATCCGGTGGGAGCAGACGCCCACCCCAGAGCGGCCGTGAATCCGGGGATCGCCTGCGGGAGTGGACGCAGGGCGCGCGGTCCCAGCCCTAAAGCTAGGCTGCGGCCGCCGCCAGGGGGCGCTGTTCCGCCGCGGACGCCGGCAGGATGGGCGAAGCCTCCGGGCCCCGCCCGCTGCCGGCGGGGCGGGGCGGGGCGGGGCGGGGCGGGGCGGGACGCGCGTGCGCACTGCGCCTCCGCCCCGCAGGGGCTGCTGGGCCGAGCGACGAGAGCGTGTGGCGAGCGGGAGCCGGAGCGGCCGGGGTACCGGCGGCGGCGGCCTGGAAGATGAGGCGGCCGGTGAGTTCCCCGCCCGGCTCGCCCCGGCGCCCCCCGGCGCCCGCTCCCCCAAGCTCCATCAGACTCCGTCCGGAACCCCAGGGCCACCCCCGAGCCGCCCCGTCCGGGGCCGCGTCAGGGACCCCAGGGCTGCTGGGGGCGGGCGTCCTTCCCGGCGGTCGGAGCCCGCGTTCTTCACGGTAGAAAGCCCGGGACCGCGCTGGGACCGGTGGATTCCACCGGCGGGACGCCCCGAAGGGAGCGCGCCCCGGGGGCCGCGACCGGAACCTGCCCCGTCGTGTGCCCTCGGGGACGCCCTGCTGACCCCCGTTCCGGCGCGCACGACCGCCTTGGACCCCTGGCTGCTTTGTGCTGTGCGGCCGCCGCGGGCCGGGATCCCGCTCCCGCCTCCCCGCGCCGGCCTGCAGCCCCCCTCGCGTCGTGCGGCGCCGACCCCTGCCGCGCGGCTTTGAGCGGAGCCGGGGGCTGCGGGCCGCGGGGGCGGCTGTCTCTGCCCTCGCAGGCCTTCCCGGACTTTTCTGCTCCGCCCTGGGCCGCCTTCCCAGCCCTCGAAAGTGCAGCTCCTCTTCCCGTTCTGTTTCTCGGTCGGGCCTCGCGTGTTGTATCTGCAGTTAGGAGGCCGCTTTTCAAGCCTGGTGTCCTTGGGGCGCTGGGGGGCTCAGTGGGTTAAGCGCCTGCCTTCGGCTCAGATCGTGATCTCGGGGTTCTGGGATCGAGCCCCGCGTCGGGCTCCCTGCTCAGCGGAGCCTGCTGCCCCCCGCCTGCTTGTGATCTCTGTCCGTCTGTCAAATTTTTAAAAAATTAAATAAACAAAGCTGGTGGCCACACACTCAGCTCTCACCCGCTCTGGGCCCAGGAATCCGTCCTTTTCCTCACAGGGTTTTCGGCTGAAGAGACAGAGGGTTCATCAGCATTTTCAACTTAGAGTTTCTGCGGGGCTTGTAATTTTCTAGGAAGCCTAGCCTTGTAGATTTTAGATATTAACAGTTTTTTTTTCATTTAGATTTAGTGGACATAGAGCATGCTGTTAGTCAGTGATTCATCAGTCTTATACAACGTTCAGTGCTCACTCCATCCCCCAGCAACCCCGTCCCCCCCCGCAGCAACCCTCAGTTTGTTCCCTAGACTTAAGAGTCCCTCGGTGTGTCTCCCTCCCGATCCCATCTTGTTTCATTTTTTCCTTCTCTGCCCCCCCACAACCCCCCACCCTGGCTCTCAAATTCCTCATATCAGGGAGATCATATGATAGTTGTCTTTCTCTGACTGACTTATTTCGCTCAGCATAATACCCTCTAATTCCATCCACGTCGTCGCAAATGGCAAGATTTCATTTCTTTTGATGGCTGCATAGTATTCCGTTGTGTATATATACCACATCTTCTTTATCCATTCGTCTGTTGATGGACATCTAGGTTCTTTCCATAGTTTGGCTATCATGGACATTGCTGCTATAAACATTCGGGTGCACGTGCCCCTTCGGATCACTACGTTTGTATCTTTAGGGTAAATACCCAGCAGTGCAATTGCTGGGTCATAGGGTAGTTCTATTTTCAACATTTTGAGGAACCTCCATGCTGTTTTGCAGAGTGGCTGCACCAGCTTGCATTCCCACCAACAGTGTAGGAGGGTTCCCCTTTCTCCACATCCTCGCCAGCATCTGTCATTTCCTGACTTGCTAATTTTAGCCATTCTGACTGGTGTGAGGTGGTATCTCATTGTGGTTTTGATTTGTATTTCCCTGATGCCGAGTGATGTGGAGCACTTTTTCATGTGTCTGTTGGCCATCTGGATGTCTTCTGTGCAGAAATGTCTGTTCGTGTCTTCTGCCCATTTCTTGATGGGGTTATTTGTTCTTTGGGTGTTTTGATAAGGTTTTTATAAATTTTGAACATTAGCCCATTATGTCGTTTGCAAATATCTTCTCCCATTCTGTCGTTGTCTTTTGGTTTTGTTGACTGTTTCCTTTGCTGTGCAAAAGCTTTTGATCTTGATGAAGTCCCAATAGTTCATTTTTGCCCTTGCTTCCCTTGCCTTTGGAGATGTTCCTAGGAAGAAGTTGCTGTGGCTGAGGTCGACAAGGTCGCTGCCTGTGTTCTCCTCAAGGATTTTGTTGGATTCTTGTCTGACATTGAGGTCTTTCATCCATTTTGAGTCTATTTTTGTGTGTGGTGTAAGGAAATGGCTCAGTTTCATTCTTCTGCATGTGGCCGTCCAATTTTCCCAATACCTTTTGTTGAAGGGACTGTCTTCCTTCCATTGAATGTTCTTTCCTGCTTTGTGGAAGCCTAGTTGACCATAGAGTTGGGTCATTTCTGGGCTCTCTGTTCTGTTCCATTGATTGATATGTCTGTTTTTGTGCCAGTGCCATACTGTCTTGATGATGACAGCTTTGAAATGGAGCTTGAAGTCTGGAATTGTGATGCCGCTAGCTTTGTTTTTGTTTTTGTTTTTTGTTTTCAACATTCCTCTGGCTATTTGGGGTCTTTTCTGGTTCCAGACAAATATTAGGACTATTTGTTCCAGCTCTGTGAAAAATGTTGCTGGTATTTGGTAGGGATTGCATGGAATGTGTAGATTGCTCTAGGTAGCATAGACATTATCACAGTATTTGTTCTTCCAGTCCATGAGCATGGAACGTTTTTTCCATTTCCTTGTGTCTTCCTCAATTTCTTTCATGACTATTCTATAGTGTTTTGGTTTTTTTAAAAGATTTTATTTATTTATTTGACAGACAGAGATCACAAATAGGCAGAGAGGCAGGCAGAGAGAGAGGGGGAAGCAGGCTCTCCGGTGAGCAGAGAGCCCGATGCGGGGCTCGATCCCAGGACCCTGGGACCATGACCTGAGCCTAAGGCAGAGGCTTTAACCCACTGCGCCACCCCAGCGCCCCTCTATATTTTTCTGAATACAGACCCTCTGCCTCTTCGGTTAGGTGCATCCCTAGCTGTCTTACCGTTTTTGGTGTAATTGTGAATGGGATCGACTCCTTAATTTCTCTTCCGTCTGGCTCATTGCTAGTGTGTACAGTACAGGTGATTGCTGTGCGTTGATTTTATATATCCTGCAACGCTGCTAAATTCTTGTGTGCGTTCTAGCAGTTTTGGGGTGGAGTCTTTTGGGTTTTCCACGTAAGTACAGATGCATTTCTGTTAATTTTTGTGACTTGCAATGAGCAGCTGCGTCCCACAACGGTGAGGCAGAGTTCGTGTGAGAACCAGGCAGACAGGCCCCAGATTGGCCTGTAGCACAGCACTGGACAGCTTACAAAGTGTCTGCACATAGTCGATCACTTAACCCTCCCAACTACCCTAAGGAGCAGGCTGCAAGTTTTAGCTTCCACTGAAGAGCTGCTCCCGTCTGGTATGTGGAGCCGGGCCCAGTACGCTTCTGAGTCCTGACTGGTACCCAGACGGTCATAGAGCCTTGGAAGAGAAAAGGGCTGGGTATTCGTAGTCTCCTGGGCCACCTCTCCTGGGCCCGGATTCCCGGGCTCATTTCCTACCTATGGGAACATTTCTGTGCCTTGGATTCCTCTGCTGCTGGAGTGCAGAGGGCGGCTGACCCTGCCAGGAGGCAGCCTTGGTTCTTGTCACCTCTGTAGTTCTGGTTCGGGCCTCGGCGCGAGGCGTAGCATGTGCTGCTTAGAGCTGTGGGCTGGGTTGTCCACAGTGACTTTTCATTCCCTAATGTGCTCTGTGCAACCGACAGGGTGGAGGTTACGCCCTAGCTCAGCCTGTTGGTGACCTTTGTGATATCTGTTTGACTCTCACTACTCAGAGCCTTTTTTTTTTCCTACTTTATAGGTTGCTAGCTGGGTCCCAGGTGGCAAATGCTTTTTTTCTTTTTTTTTTTTTTTTTTTTTTTAATTTTTATGTATTTATTTGACAGAAATCACAAGTGGGCAGAGAGACAGGCAGAGAGAGAGGAAGGGAAGCAGGCTCCCGGCCAAGCAGAGAGCCCGATGCGGGGCTCGATCCCAGGACTCTGGGATCACGACCCGAGCCGAAGGCAGAGGCTTAACCCACTGAGCCACCCAGGCGCCCAGCAGCACTCTGTTTCTACAGGCAAGCTGTGCACACACTCGTGTGTTCCCCACGAGAGGCTGGGGTACAGAAGGCCCATTTCATCTCGTCCAGACTGGAAGGCTTTGAGGTGGTGGGTGCAGAGACAAGTGTAAGCTAGGGCTGTCCCAAGCCAGGCAGGGCATGTGGTCGTCCTAGTGAGAAGGCACTGGTGCGTGGGGGAGCAGCCTGGGGACCCACAGCTCTCTCTTGGCCTGTTTGCTGGTGCGCTCTGGTACTTAAGCTCTGGGTGTGATTTCAGTTCCATGCTGGAAATTGCCCTGGACTGGTTTCTGGAAGATCTGACTATAGATTCTGTCCCATATTTATAGACACGTGACTTCTTTGGGCTTTGGGGATGTCTCTTGGATGATGGGGCTAGTTTGAGGAACACTGGCCATCCCAGACTGGAAGGAGCCAGGTACTTAAATGGGCCTATGGACCCTGGTGGGGGCTCAGGAGTTGTCAGTATGAGGCCTTGTCCTTGGAGTGTGTGCAGAGCCGGGCTGCTGCAAGGGCTGCTGGCCTGTCTCACACACTGTGGCCTTCTTGTTGCTCACCAGGCATCCAAGCTTGGGCCACGTGGGGTTCTGGTTCATCCTATCACCATTTATCTGAATTCAGCCAACCTTCCTGGGCTTCCTGCTTTATGTAACAAGCACTGCACGAGATCCTGGAAGCACAGAGATGATGGAGAGGTGGGCCCTGCAGTCTGGTGGACACGCGCACAGCTTGCAGAGGTGGGGGGGGGATGAGAGTCGGGCCTGGGGAATTCGAGTTCTGGTGAAGGCCCTTCCAGGCAGGACGGCAGCCTGGGGAATAGGGCTGGGCCTGGTGCTGCGTGGACTGTCCAGGTTCAACCAGAGGGACCTTTGTTACGGGAGTGTGAGTGAGAGTCACTCGGCGCTGGGAAGTGCCTTGGGGGATGGTGAGATGCGG